GCTTCGGAGTTGCCGCTCCGACATCCCCTGCACGCTCACAAGCCATAGTGCCGCATGGTTCGGCCGCCTGGTAGCCCTTCCTACACAAGAAGACCGTCTGCAAACCACGAACATTGTGCCAAACACCCGGGGCCGCCGCCCCGACTTCCCACCAGACCAACCCCTCAGGCCGCATCCGACCGGGGCGACGACCTCGTGTCCCTCGCATCACCAAGTCGCCACCCAAGCCATGCAGAGCCGCGAACCTACCCATAGAGTCGTCGTTGCATCGTCATTTGAGATCGTCTCCTCAACGATACTTCCCCCGTCCGGAGCCGCCGCCCCGACGTCCACCTCCCTGACCACGACGCAATCTTGCACAATTGTCGTGAACCCACCACCTCACAAAGGTGAAGGACTCCAAGGTGGTGCCTCCAAGAAGGTAACGACATAAATGTCGCCAACGCCCGGCTTTTCACCCGGAATCACATAAAAATAGTGACAGTAGATGGATGTATCTTCATGATGAGGCCTTCAGGAAGGGACACGACAACTGAAGCTTATTTCTAACCAAGGTCGAGAAGGATTTTCTTAAATTGGGCCCAAGACATGTTTCTTACCAAATAGTTACAACTGGCCTAAACAGGTACTTGCTTCGTTCAGAAATATAATATATTTTGGATATTTCAAGATGAATTACATACATACTGAAATGAGTAAATAAACATTATGTCTGTAGTCTGAATCATAAAAAAGTTAGAACATCACTATAATACTAAACAGAGAGGGAAACAATGAATACATGCGAGCAGTAAACCTATGCGTCTAGCTAGGTTCTTCCCCCAACGCTTGACGGTTAGGGCAAACTCTCCCCTCCAAGCTTCACCGGTGAGCCCGTGGATTAGCCTCTCTTCTGCCCGCTACTCCGGTGGCTAGTAGCGGGGAGGAGAATCCTAGTGCCTCCGCTCCAGTTGGTAGTTTAGGTTAGGATTTTTTTAGTTGTCGCATGTGCGGCGCTCGGGCGGATGGCGACGATTCTTCTTCGAATTTGTCTTTCGAGCTCCAATCCTCCTTGAGTTCGTCCATCTGGACGTAGTTGTCAGAGCTCCGGCGTAGATTCCTTCTGTCTCCTTGGGGTGGCGAGGTTAGGGTTCCTTGTCGTGTCGCGAGATTTGGTGCCGGGTGCTTCAGATCTATCCATGGGTTCAACGACAACGACAATGACTGTGGCTTTAGGTTGCTGATCCTTAAGGGCACGTGCACGAAGAATCCCTGCTGTCATTTATAAGGTCAAGCTAGTTTCGGTAGGGGAACGACGAGAGCGGCGCATCGACGGCTTGTTCTGGCGGCGGTAGTGGTCGGTTGCTGATGTTGGAATCTTGATGTAATTTTTGTTATGTTTGAGGTACTCTGTACTTCTGGTAAATTTTGAAAATAAATCTGAATCATTTTCGAAAAAATGAACAGAGAAAGTGTTTTTTTAGGGGTAGGGAGTATTTTATTAGGCGCATGGCTAGGGCCAGTCCTGAGATTTTAAGGGCCCGGCGCAAAACTAAATTTTGAGGCCCTTAATAATAATCAGCGCACATATACATACAAAAATGTTTTTGGTCAACACTTGATATCGGTGTCATTGTGTTATTATAAGTAGCCCTATATATATAGAAAATAAATGAAGGTCGTTATCACAAGACATCCTTTGAAATACGAAGATATGTTAATTATCAAGCTTACTGGAACAATGGAGCACAGTTATGCGGTTTCAGGAGTCATTTTGGAACAACAATGACTCCATGAATAGTGCTAAAAGAAATTTGATCCAAAATGCATAGTTGTTCTTGGACTACTTAATGGTAAGATTATTATTCTATAAATAGCAGTATCCAAGAAATGATGATAAGAGGATCAGATCAATAAAAATGATACGTAAAATATTCTTCATAGATTAGAAATAACACACGCGAGAGTGCAAAGTTACTCCTACTTGTGCAAATTTATTGTGCCATCCTACAATTCAACCCAAACCTACTTGCCACGATAAAAACCTTGTTACCAAACTGTAGAAGTATAACAGTCAGTGATACTGATACATACAGCTGAAGACATTGACTGGGCAGGCAACGCTCCGATCCACAAACGACTAGGTTTCGCGCAACATGCCCGTGTGTGTCAAACCGACTTGGTTTCGTGCAGGACGCGCGATCTGAATGGGCCGGCCCATTCGGTGTCGTTACAAAAATACCAAATAAAAAAGTCCCATGGAGGATTCGAACTCGCAAACCTCACAATAAGGAGTAACTGATTTGTACCACTACAGCACCTAAAAGATCGTGCTTAAATGAAGGGCGAAACTTTAAGAACTATAAAGACAGCGCCAGAGAAAAAAACAAAAAAATTCCACCATTGAACATTTTTCTGATTTAGACTGAATAATGTTTAAATACACTTTGAACATTTTTGTGATATATGCTGGATAGTTTATAATACACATTGAACATTTTTGTGATATATGATGAATAATTTTTAAATACACATTGAACATTTTTGTGATATATGATGAATAATTTTTAAATACACATTGAACATTTTCATTATATAAGCTGAACACTTTTTAAGTACACAATGAACATTTTTTAAATATAATGGACATTTCCTTAATATATGATGAACCTTTTGTTAAATGTATGATGAACATTTTTGTAATAGACAATGAACATTTTCTAATGCGTGGTGACTTTTTCATGAAGATGATGAAAATTTTCTTAATATACCATCAACATTTTTGTAATACGCGGTGAACTTTTTAGATAACACAGCAAAAAGAGAAGAAGAAAAAAAGATAAATGAAAGTAAACCAAAAAGAAAAATACAAAGGGAAATGGAACCAAAACAAAAAGACCCAGAACAAAACCTCTAAAAACCAGACAAAGCATTGAAAAACCAGAAGCAAAAAACCACACAAGAAAAACGAAAAAACCCGGCTGGAAACAACGAAAGAAAGCGAAGGGACGACCTTTTTGACGCTAACGAGCGTCAAATAGTATCTGCCCCGCGACTATTCCTCGCATTCAGCGAGTCGAGCCTTCCGACTCGCTGAAGCGAGCGAGCATATGGGCCAGCCAACGTGCACGGGGAGGCACTTGCCTGTTTCCTCGTTCGTTCTTTTCACGTGTTTTTTTTTCGTTTTTTACTTATTTGAACTTTTGTTTATACTTGAAAATAATTCAAATACCTATTTTTACAAAATACACTCGTAAAAAACACATTTGAAAATTGCTGCACAAGTATTTTAAAAATATTGAATAAGTATTAAAAAATGTTGAGCAAGTATTTTAAAATGTTGAATGAGTACTAAAAATGTTGAACAAGTGAAAAATGTTGAATACATATTAGAAAATGTTGAACGAGTGTATAAAAAATGTTGAACAAGTATTTAAAAAATATGTTGAACAATTATTTAAAAAATGTTAAGCATTCGGAGAAATTGTTAAACATGTATTTGAAAAATGTTGATCAAGCATTCTAAAAATGTTGAACAAGTATTTAGAAAATGTTAATCAAGCATTTAAAAAATGTTGAACAAGTATTTAAAAATATTAGTCAAGTGTTTGAGAAATGTTGAACATGTATTTGAAAAATGTTGAAAAGGTAGTTAAAAACATGTTAATCAAGCATTTGAAAAAAAGTTAAACAAGTATTTGAAAAATGTTGAACAAGTATTTGAAAAAATGTTGAACAAGTATTTGAAAAAATGTTGATGATGTATATAAAAATGTTGAGCAAAGTGTTTAAAAATATTGAACAAGTACTTGAAAAGTGTTGAACAAGTATTTGAAAAGATGTTGATCATATATATAAGAATCTAGAATGAAATACAAAAAGAAAGAAAGAAAACCAAAAAAATGGAGAAGAAAAAAAGGAACCCAAACAAAAAATGGAGAATAAAAAAATGAAATAAAATACGAAGAAATCAAATAAAAAATAACTGGAGAAGGGAAGGTAAATAAACAAACGAAACAAAAAAAACTGGGAAAAAGGACGGAAACAAAGTAGGCTCATTTATATTAAAGGTCGTCGTGCCTTGACGTCGTGAAGGAATCCGACCTTGTCAAAGTGTTTAGAGGGGTAACTTCTATCCAGGAGGCGAGGGTTTGAATCCCCGTTTCGTTATCATTTTCTCCCCCATTTTCTCCTGGATAGAAGTATGAAGGCGAGGGTTCGAATCCCCGTTTCGTTATCCAGGAGGCGAGGCCGGCCCAGTTACTACGAGAGAGAAAAAACCTTCACACTTCTTTGGCGACTCACTTAAAGCGAGAAATATCATTTGCGCATAATCACTCGCCATCCCCTCGCTTCCTATCCACTAATGGGTCAGCGCCCACTCCCGTTCGCCAGAGCGCGAGTACTATATCCGCCTCGCAGTAGGCGAGATATAGCAGTGGCGTTTCATTAGAGCCCCCTTAATTCAAAAAACAAAACTGATAATATTTTACCAAATCACAAAGGATGATAACATTTTACCTTTGCGTTAATATGATACACGCAAATACAATTATACATTGTTAACTATTTAATTATATCAAGGAAAAGTCAAGCATAAATGTTAAACATATCGGCTAAAAACGCCTAAGTCCATCCAAATCGTTGTTCCCGGAACGGCCCATTGCAACACCAGCTTGGCCCACCATGCAGGTAGGCAGGGGGCTGATGTGGCACGGGATAGAACCAGTCCCTGCCACCAGCATCGAACAAGTGAAGCTCGCTCCCCAGCGCCCTCCAGTGGCCGGGGTGTGAGAGAGGGAAGAGGAAGAAGGGGCGGTGGTGGTTAGGGTTTCGCAGGTGGCGATATTCTACCAATAAGCTTAGAAAACCGACAAAAAGGATAGTTACAAATGTATTTACTGAGACATTCTCAGCATAATGATTTAGGATTTTTGTTGTTGTTTGCTATTGATGATGTTGTTTGTACACAGGAAGGGGCACGCCTACCTTGGTATAGCACATATATTGATCGTTGAAGGATGGCTATAGAAATAGAATCATCTGAGTTGAGGAGAATTACTAACGATTTTTCGGATGCCCAGAAAGTTGGAAGTGGTGGCTATGGAGACGTTTACAAGGTACTACTAATGATCGACTTGGTATTCTATTTTATCTTGAACATCATATTATTGATTACTTCTATCAAACGCAAACAGGCAGTCTACAATGGGGAAGCCATAGCAGTGAAGTTGCTTCATGCGACCAAAGGCATTGACGACAAACAATTTATTAAGGAACTCCGTAACCATATGAAGGTCCAACATCCAAACATTGTACGGCTAGTTGGGTATTGCAATGAAGAAACTAAGAAATATATTGAGCTACCTGATGGCACGTCTGTTTTTGGTAGACACATATACAAAGTGCTCTGCTTTGAATATATGGTCGGTGGAAGCTTAGACAAGCGTCTGTCTGGTAAAATTCAAATCTTTAATTCGAACATCTTTTTTTTCATCTTTAAATAAAAATACTAGTTTCATGTTTGAGACATTGTCCTCTTTCTAGGAATTTCTCTGGGAGATGAATGGTGCACACATTACCAAATAATAAAGGGGACTTGTGAAGGTTTGTGTTATCTTCACAATGGATGTGAAAGTCGGATCCTCCACTTGGATCTAAAGCCTGCCAATGTGTTACTTGACAAGAGCATGAAACCGAAAATTGCGGATTTTGGATTGTCAAGGATCTACACTGCAAGCCGTAGCCATACCAAAGTTGATTCAGTTTCAGGGACAACGTGAGAAGTGGAATGCTTCTTTGATTTTAGAATGATTTTCTTTCTCATGTAACCGAACAGATGGTGATACTGACGGTGCCCTTCAACATTTTTTGATACCATGCAGGAAATACATGGCGCCTGAATTAATACGTGGGAGCATGATGTCAGACAAGACTGATGTCTACGGTTTAGGTGTTACAATCATAGAAGTAATTAGGGGACCTGGTGGTTTTGAAATTTATCACGACTCAGGGGACACAAATTTTGTTGAAGATGTATGAACAAATTATGTTTGTCACCAACATGTTCAATTTCATGCTTAAAGATACGGTGCTATGATAATATAGATAAATAATTATGCATTTGATGATGTTACACATAAAGCTTTTCTGTATCGATTTACAGGTGTGTGCATATTGGAGGAAGAGGGATAGCACAACAAATTTATATCAAGTGGAGACATGCACCAAAATTGCAGTACGTTGTCTCAATCATGATAGAAGGAAGAGACCCACAATAAAGGAGATTGTAGAAAACTTGAATGGTATAGAAACTCAGGGTTTGAGCAAGGTACCACATCTTTGTATTTGTTACTGATATTTTATTACATTATTTGTACAACCCTAGAAGGTAAACTTCAGAGTATCATGTAACCTTTGTTGTCATTCCTCTAGTTTATGTCGTGCCCTTCTTTACATTTTACCGTTCTTATATAACTTGAAACCTTGCAATGAAGAGGGCATTAATTGATGTATGCAGAGAGGAGGACGGGGATGGGGGGGGGGGGGCTGGATTTGGGGCATCAATTACATGCCCGCTTGAAAAAGTATATTAATATTGGGATAAATGACTTCACTAAAATACTTTTAAATAAATGGTTGTGAGTACCGTAAGCTTCAACCTCTAGAAGGACTATCTTATCTAGGTTTGTAACTGTTAGAAATTTATAAATAAACTGTTATGGGAATTATAGCCCAAGGCCCACTTTTATTAAATGATTATGGACATCAGCTAGAACTTGGTACCCAACTGATCATCATATTTCCCTAAAAAACTGATCATAGTGTTGATGTGCTTTTACTGTAATATAAACATTATCGGATCTTCGGTAAGAAGGGCTCCTACGGAGGAGAACTTTTGGTCTATGGGGACATATGCACCCTATATGGGAAAAAAATTAGTAATTCAATAAAAAGTCGAAAATTCCTAAAAATATTTTTGAAATAAACTTGACCTTCTATTGTACTCGTGAGAAAAAAATCTACAAAAAAATATCCCTTTGACTTCATTTCAAAAAAGACAAATATTTGGCTAAAATACTGTGAATAGTGACCTATAATAGCAAATAAATTTTGTCTTTTTTTGCTGTGAGGTCAACTTTTGTTTTTTTTCGTCGAGATTTATATACTAGTGCAAAAGTAAGTCAAGTGTTTTGTCAAAATAGTTCTTACCTATTTTGACTTTTTGTTAAAATATTAAAAGAAAAAACCCATATAGGGTGCATATACAACCAAGAATCAAAGTGTATTTCCCGGGCTCCTACACTTTATACATGGTGGTCATAGAGTAGCATTTTCGAGGCAGGATAGTGGGCACGTACGTGCTTCGAGAATGCAAGTATATCTCGTGTCTCGAGTCTCAAGTAGATCCCATGAGACTCAAGAGGAGAAAAAAAGGTTTAAACGATTTTTATATGTGCTCCAGTCAAATGTTCTATGAGCTAATTAATTAGTTTCTTCCTATGTCTTATATTCTTGTGTATATTTCAGGATCTCCATGCCCTCACGGTGAATTCTTGCCTCCCTATTCCAGACAAGATTTCCACTGCCATTTCAGGTATATGATGTCATCCAATAAAATTAACTAATGATTGAATAACAGGAACATGTGTGAATGAGTTCCTTGTCTATACTGGTTTGTAGGAAGGGGGGCACTGGATGTGGTGATTGTGTATGCCTTTGATTGTACTGACTCAACCCCAGCCTGGTACACAGTGGATAATGGGATCTTTTGGTTGGTGCAAGAGAAGCTAACCAACTTGCATGATAGTTGCATGGGCTATATTTACGTCATGTCAACGCCTAACACATACACATCGGATATGAAAGTAGTTGACTCAGCTGAGACAAAGCAAACTGGCTACACGGGATTCGCTTGGCGCAGGATGACCTGCAGTAAAAATATGGCATCAGGCCTTGCTGAGGCGCATAAAATGATCAGCAATCGTGGCCACCACAACGGCATCATCTTGTTCTTCTCTGATGGGTTAATAAACAATGGGGACTTTTTTGATGGAACAGAGAACTTTGTCTCCAAAGTTCCTGTCCACACATTTACCCTGGGCGGGGACGCATATAACCATGTATGTATCAAATCAGAGTTCATCCATCTAAATTGTGATCGCCTCATGAATTAGTTTAATTCATTCCTATGTATTGTATACAAGCTAGGTCCTCCACTCCATTGCGACCAATTCTCCAGGTGGGAAGTTTCACAGCAACACCGTTCCAGAAAGGCCAAATCTATCAACACCCTTCTCAAAACTACTGGATAGCCTCCTTGGCACTACCCCGAAGGATGATGAGATGCCTCTTAGTTCCATTTCAGGTATATATAAATCACAACATCTAATCGAATATGAGTCTAGAAGTGATCATCAAGCACATGTATAGTGGGATGCTTGAGTGACGAATTGTCCATACTGGTTTGCAGGAAGGAAGCCACTGGATGTGGTGATTGTGTACGCCTTTGATTGCACAGACTCAACCCCAGCCTGGTACACGGTGGATAATGGGATCTTTTGGTTGGTGCAAGAGAAGCTAGCCAACTTGCCTCACAGTTGCATGGGTTATATTTACGTCATGTCAACCGCTAACACCTACACGTCAGACATGAAAGTAGTTGACTCAGCTGAGACAAAGGAAACTGGTTACACGGGATTCGCTTGGCGTAGGATTGCTTGCAATAAACATATGGCATCAGGCCTTATTGAGGCACATAAAATGATTAATAATCGTGGTCACCACAATGGCATCATCTTGTTCTTCTCTGATGGGTTGATAAACAAGGGAGATTTCTTTGATGGAACCGAGGATTTTGTTTCCAGAGTGCCTGTCCACACATTTACCCTCGGCGGGGACGAATATAACCATGTATGTATCCACTCAGAGTTGATCCGTCTAAATAATGACCGCCTTATGAATATATTTAATTTATTCCTATGTATTGTATATATGCTATAGGTTCTCCACTCAATTGCGGCCAATTCTCCGGGTGGAATGTTTCACACTAGCCCCGTTCCAGAAAGGCCAAACCTATCAACAGCCTTCTCGAAACTACTGGATAGCCTCCTTAGCGGCACGATGGAGGACAAAAATTATCAATAGTATGGGTCATTTGCTCAAGTTCTCAGACACACGCACAAGCACTCCACTTCCAACGCCTTTGTTCATTTCCTATGTTGAAGTACTGCCATATCCTCTGTAGTATCTAATAAGCGAGTGGCTCCACCCCTGTGTGTGCATATAAATTGCATTGATGCGCTTGTATATCTTTCGTTTTTCTTGTATAACCCGACTTCGATTCAAGTCAATGTGATACCTCTTCCCCTTGGAACCTGTACTGAAACCGAGAGGAGAATGGTGCCAGACTCGCCATGGATTTCGCCGGCCTTCATGTTCGTCTCTGACGACGGCAAGGGCGAGGTTGACAGAAATCGTTTATGTGTATCGGTCTAGTTATTTCCCCACCTTTACTCAACTTCTATGCTATGCGGCGGTGTGACCTAGAGGAGGCGGCGCGGCGGCGTGGCCTAGAGGAGGCGGGGCGGCGGCGGCCTAGCCTGGAGAAGGCGGGGCAGCGGCGGCCTGTCTTGGAGGAAACGGGGCCGCCGAAGAAGATCGCGGGGCAGCAGAAGAAGTACGACTCAATCAGAGGAGTTTACCAGGGCGGGCGACTCAGTCCAGCGAAGTGAACTCAATCCAGAGGAGTGGAGACCAGCAGCGACAGGAGCAGCTCGAATCGGGAAGAGGTGGATGGATCGGAGCGGCGGTGAAACAGCAACAGCCGACTAGGAGATCACGGCGGCGCGAGTAGAGGATCAAGCGCGAGTTGCGCGTACTAAAAAAGAACCTAAGCTCTAATACCATGTTATAAATATGCAACTCAGTACTAATGTACTATCTCGAGGCCAAAGCCATCATATATACAAGTACATAAGGGAGGCCAAAGGACAAAATACAGAAAGTCAAAGGGCATCATAAATATAACTCTTAACACTTTCTTCCCGTGCCAATAGTTTTCATGTTTGTTGTCCTGATTTTGTTCTATGATTGGAAGAAGATAGTGATAGAAAAAGTTGTCGGGTTGGTTGTCACTTGTCATTCTGTTATGAGGTTTACCCATTTGTCAGATTTTATTTATAATAACTCTAATAATTGAGAAGAATGATGGCCTGAACACTTATCAATCAACATTAAAAAAATACACCAGCTAGTTTTACTGCAGGTCTTGGTTGATTGGGACCCTTAATCTTGGTTAAATGGGACTGTTAATTTCAACGTCACATTGTTTAGGCAGGGAACAGCCAGACACATCGATGTTACACAAACTGAAGCTAGAGACAGCATAAAAGGAAGAACATAGACATAGATCATCTTAAGGCAAGGTGACCACATCTGTGATAGCCTGATAGGTCCACGCCATAGAAATCAGGATCACTTTGACTCGAGCTGAACAAACGAAGACCAAAAAAAATCAGAGGAATACTGATCTAAATTCGACTCCAATAAAAAGGAACAAACTATAGATCTTCTATTTTGCTGGATATAGTATCATAGGCTGACGAGGAATATCATAGGAATAACAAACTCTAACTTAGGTCACCAAGGGAGGGAAATAGGGAGGTTTTGACAGACAATCAACAAAAGGAAAACATCCCTCCAGCTAGGAATTAGCATGACCACTGCCAGCTGAAGCATTGTTGATCCACAGGTCACTCTTAGGCAGGGAAGAACCAGATCAAATTTAGACTAACCAAAACAAATAGACATCGGGGTGGCCGGTTCTGCCTCCTCAAGACTTCGCTCGCCACTGGAGGGGGAAGAGGGGGGGCGGGCAGCAAATAACACTGTTCAAAAGTTCAAATATATATAGCCAGACAAAGGCATGTAAGCATGGTGAAATGAGTACATGTAATGCAAAACTGGTACCTATGTGTTGCAGGACATCATATATTACCTAGTAGTATAACAAACTTTCAACTTATAGTTTGCTTATGAGGAACACTGGATTTATTTGCTTCTGTACTATAATTTGTAACACTTTCGAATGCTGAACATGAAAATTTTCGATTCCTATGATGAAAACTGAAATTGTTTGGTTCATGTCATTTATAACATTGTCGAATGATGGATACCAAGCTATTTGATTGCTATAAGAAGCACATTCCCATGAAGTTTGTGCTTTCTCTGGGTGTTTAGTTGAACACCTATAGTTTGTTGATATTGTTCATTGTGATTTGGAACTGGAAATAATACTGATGTCAAGCATGTAGAGCAACAGACAGTAAACCTATTTGTAGTGATGTTGGCAAAATTTACCTAGTGTGCTACTTATATATGTCGGCCATATTATCTGTTACTAATGCCTCTGCAAAAAAATAGTGTTCTCTCATGGTTGCTGTTTGCGAAATCGAAGACAGTGCAAGTCTATTATATGCTCGAAGCATCAGGCATCAGAGATTCAGAGGATCCACAGGTTCAGTTAAGATGCATCCGCTAATCCCTACTCCTCTTAGCGACAACAAGACACAAATATGACCAAATTCATATCTGCATGTAGTACTATCCCTACTCCAGTTCAGATGCATCAGAGTAGTGTTTTTTTCAGGTCTACCTTAATCCCTACTTGTATTTATTGTTGTTAGCTGATTCTATTAAACATTAATTCCTACACATTTGTTTTCTGAAGCATGCAACCATCATCTGGTATTTTGTCAAAGTTCCTCATCCCCGGGCCAAAAACAATGTTTTGACCTTGTGAAAAAAGTTTAGCACAACTTACCTGTGTTTCAAAAGTTTTGCACTCAGGGTCGGATCATGAATAACTTTTGAAACTGAGTCTAATCGTGCTAAACTTCTTTCACAAGGTTAAAACAGTCATTTTGATATGTAGTACTAGTTTAGAAAAAAAATGTGACTTGCAGATATACAGCAGCAGCATGATTTACCACAGCTCTTGATTGACTTAAACTGTTAATTTTATTGTCAGATTCACTTATTAGGCAGGGAGCACCACATCCATCTTACACTAACCGAAGCTACAAGTAACATGAAAAGACATGATCACTGCCAGGTGGAATTCTGTAGATTGTCAGCAAGTTGATCACATCCGCAAGAACTCCACGCTATCAAAACTGTGGTCACTTTGAACTCGAAAGCTGATCTGGTGATGACTCCACAGAACCTGGACAAACAAGACCAAAAATACTCAGACATCACAGAATAATTTTGTGGCCAATTGGTGCATACTAATTCAATAGCTTAATGAGCTTAAATGAACAAAGTTTTAGGTACTTAGGTAGTATCATGGAATAGCATAATATTGATCTCAACTGAATTTGAAACGTGTGACTGCAGAAAGACACTCACTTCAGTGTGGGCGTCATTGTATGTTGGGATACATAGACAGACAGAGGTATGTGAACCCCTAAAGGAATCAGTCCTGAAAAACTCATGCAAAACTGGTACCTTTGTTCTGCAGGAGTTCATTTACTGCCTAGGCACACTCTAGCATTTTTTTAAACTTCTACTTAAAGAAAACAAAGAAACTGGGGTGCTACTGCTAGTAGCGAGAAACAATACAATACAGTCACCTGAAAACTCTAAAGTTCAGTCAATCATCTCAACCAATATGATTTGCTTTGAGATTAGGATCACAACAATGATATGAATATCTAAGAGTGATGGAGAGGTTGACTGCAAAATTGAACAATTTCAATTGCCCATGCTGATAAGCACTCCATTGATCTTATCAGGTTGATTTTACATAAGACAACATCACAGGATAAAATCTCAGTGGCCTGTGAGAACAAGCTCTTCTTATTTAGAGCAGTGACTTAGGATCTTACTTGTGACCATACCAGTTGTTTATCTCAAAACAACACTGCACGATAAAATTATACATCTGAAGATGACTAAAAGAGAACTTTTCTGCCTCCCTGCATCTACCAAAAGAAAAAGTGTACAAAATGAGCTGTCCTTAACTGGAATGAATTTTCTCGAGGTGAAATAATCCAATGTAAACTGGATATAATGTTGTATTCATTGTACTTTATCTTGATCATCAAAACTACTCCTCGAAAATAGTTATAATGGCCTGCTGTTTTTAGTGATTCCATCTGGATTCATGCACAAGCTACTCATAGTGTAAATGATCATTTCTCTTACTAACCCCATTCTCTTAAAAAGGCGATCAAAACAAACAAGAATAGAAACACAATTATTTTCCCGAGCTTTGTTAGTTTTCCCATGAGCCATGAGCACATGAAATTAAACACTACCAAATCCAACAAGAATTATGTATTGCCATAATGAACATGAAGCAAGAGACAACTTGGAAGCAGTAGAAACTTTAGAGTGAATTGCAAAAAACCACCACATTTGGGGCATCGTTTGCGGAAAACCACCAGGTCACTAATCTTTTGCAAAATACCGCGGATTCGGTAAACATTTTGCAAATAGCACTGATCAGGTGGTTTGGCTCATTTGATCACTTTCTGACAAGTGGGACCAGATTGTAAGGAGATGACTTGGCATAACATTTACACACACACCCTTAGATCTAAAAAGAAAAAGCAATCAACCCCTCCCTCCATTCGCTGCCTGTAGGACGCCTCTGTGGCCGCTCCGCCCGCTCAGCCGGCGGCATGCTGCCTCACCGGCGAGCCACCGCGCCGCCACTTTTTATCTCCACCACCACGCCGCGCTCGCCGCCTGCTGCAGGCCGAGCCGCACATCCCCTCCTTCTCCCGTCTCCTTCTCTCTGCAGCATCCATGCCCCCGAACGTGATGTGCCACCGCTTCTGCAGTGAGCCGGCCGCCATGGTCGTTTCCATCAACTACCGGGCCTCCTCCACTTTGAAGTGAGCGTCACACGTCGTAGCATGCACGTATGCGCTTTTCAACAGCCGGGCCTCCTCCACTGCTCCGCTCCTCACTCAATAACGACAGGATGAACATCCCAGGGGTCAATAGGAAGTTAGAGCTATGGAGACAAACCTTGGAATTAGACTTGGTAGAACTAAAACCGAGTACATGAGGTGTGGTTTCAGTACTACTAGGTACAAGGAGGAGGAGAAAGTTAGCCTTGCTGGTGCTGGGCAGGT